ACCATCATCTGGGGTCATATATGAACATGCTAAGTTCTCCAACTTTACATCCACAATTTTACGGTCCTAATCTTAGTGGGGTGCAACTTTCTCCTACTAGTGATAATGGATCAACTCCCGAATCAGGTTCCAAACTGGACCTCATAGAAGAAGAGGTAGAAACATCGCCAAATCCAAAGAAGAGGAAAAACTTCACATCCAAAAAAAATGGTGAAGCTAGTGGTTCGCAAGGGACCAAACATTTGTTTTGGGATTCCCGTTATGATGATGAACTCATTCCATTTCTTGCTGACTTGGTAAGGAAGGGTAACAAACCCGACAAAAACTTTAAGAGAACCGCTTTTCATATGGCTTCTCAACATATTAATGAGAAGTTTTACACAGTTTTTAAGTGGGATAATGTCATGCACCGCATCAAAACTCTACGAACAAGATTTTGTGATATGAAAATTTATCGTAATCTTAGTGATGCCGGATGGGATGATAGTACGAAGACTGTCATCATAGATCCCGAATGTTTGGATAGGTGAATTGAGGTAAATAAACTCTCATTAAATAATAGATTTATTTTCCATTTCTTTTTATTATTTTCATTGAATTAATTAAACTATAATTTGCAGGACAAGAGCTTTAAGAATGCTAAGCTTAGACAATACGTCAATAAACCATTGAGGTATTATGATGATCTCGCCTTTATTATCGGGGATGATCAAGCTACAGGACAATTTGCTAGTGATGCTTGAAAAAAATTTAGCTATTGTGAGACCATAAATCTTGGAGATGAGGTGAACTCATCTATGCATTCTCCCCAATCCACTCAAATACACATTTTAGATGACGAGGACACTCCTCCGCCTAAGGAAGCACCCAACACATCAAGTTCTAAGGCTAAGCCATCCTCCGCCAAGGTAAAAGCTCGTAAGACCAACCTAGATAGTGAGATCATGCTAAAAATGGTGGATAAGCTAGATGTATTTAGCACAAACATGAAGTGTGTACATATGCATTGGACCGAGAAGTTATCCACGGTCCTATATGCTCATTCACATGACTTTAGTGTTGTCAAGTTAGATACATACTACTGTCACCTCTATATGAATGAGCATGAATCAATACTATTTATGGGCATATCTTCGATTGGTCAGAAGGAGATGATTGAGTCATTTCTCAACAAAAATGGTTGAAGACCTATAGATTATGGGTGTGCGTAATATTTTATGATTCTCACTTAAGCATATTTACGTTTGGTTAAAGACTAATATTGTTTATGTTTATTTTTGTGATTGTCGAACATTATGACGATGGAACATATTATTGTTATATTGTAGTAAGTAGTTATTTACTTTTATTTTGTAATATTATCTTTCATAGTGTGAATATTGTTGTGTACTAACCTTTAAATTAAACTTGTGACTGCAGGATATTTATAAGTCACAATACAATTTTCTAAGATGCAAGCAACCTACAATGTGCATACATTGTACTGGATGGCTACTGCTCTGGGTATTTTGTGTAGTAAGTTTTCATGAAACAAGTTTACATTATTAATTTTTTTCTTCTAAGGCTATGATGATTGTCAAAATTTCTGAGATTAGCCACCAAATGCAATATCTTTTGAAATTGCACTGGATTGCTAACAATGATGATATTGACCAAGTTTTGAGCCCATTGCTCTGGGTATTTTGAGTAGTAAGCCTTTATGAAACGAGTCTATACTGGTGACTATTTACTTTTTTAGGCTATGATGATTGTTAAAATTTCTGAGATTAGCAACCAAATGTAATATCTTTTAAAATTACACCGGATGGCTAACAATGATGATATTGACCCAGTTCTGAACCTATTTCACTAATTTTCTTAGCGAGATTTTGAGTGCAAACTCATGTTATATTTAAGTTTGTGGGCGTTTGTGGGTATTTGTGGGCTTTTCATATGGTTTTCATATAGCTTTTCATATTGAAGTTCATATAGCATTTGTGGGTATTTGTTGGGATTCATGCCTATATGCTCAGGATTGTGAGCCTGGTTGTGGTTGTGTTCAGGCTGTGACTTGGGGTTGTTTTGTGGAGCCTGGTTGTATTCAGGTTTTGTCCTGTTTTGTTTTGTTGATGCTATTTTGTTCAAGTTCTATTTGTGCATTTTTTATTTGTGGAGCCTGGTTTTGTGTTGTGGAGCCCGGTGGTGTTGTGCTTTTGTTCTCGGCCAGTTTTTATTAGCATATGTTGTTGATGCTATTCTGAGCCTGATTGTGTTCAGTTTGTGACCAGCTCGGTTTTGTGTTGTGGAGCCTGGTTGTGTTGTGGAGCCTGGTTATGTTTGTGCTTTTTTTCTCGGCCAGTTTTTTTGCATATATTGTTGATATAATTTTGAGCCTAGTTGTGTTCAGTTTGTGACCAGCTCGATTTTGTGTTGTGGAGTCTGGTTGTTTTGCGGAGCCTGGTTGTGTTGTGTTTTTGGTGCATATATACTGTTGATGTTATACCACGCCTGGCTGTGTTCAGTTTGTGACCACGTCGGTTTTGTCATTATCAGCAGGTTCTATTCTTGGTTGGTCAAAACAGTCCACATGAGCATGTCCCTTGTTCATGTTCGTGCAAATCAGTTTTCCTGATGCTCTGGTTTGTGCTATGTTTGTGTTCAGTCACTTGGAGTTCTATTTGTGTTCAATTTAGGCTATGATGAGTATCGATTTTTCTGAGATTAGCAACCTGCAATATCTATTGATATTGCACTGGAGGCTAACAATGATGATATTGAACAAGTTCTGAGCCCACACCCATAATTCGCATATACATGTGGCTGATTTATTTGAGATGATGTCAAAAATTATTTTCAAGCATGGTTTTTTGCACATAAAGTTCATCAACATGCATAAATTATCAAATTTGATGCAATTTGCTATGTTATATACATATTTATGGCTATTCAGGTTGTTTATATGTTTTTATAAGTTTCAACAGATTTTTTAGCTAATTCAGGTATGTACTACATAAATTTATGAATAAGCAGGTTATTAGAGGTTTCGTGTGCTTTTTTCAATCTCAAACAGGTATAGTTCAAATCAAATCAGGTACGCAATTCATAGCAATTGATTCATGTTATTTCAAGTTTCATATGATTTAATTAATACAAACAGAAATTTATAATTCATTAGGGATATTATTATTTGTTCATGTTACATTCGAACTTTTATATGATTAAGATTACATCATATAACGAGCATAAATAAATTTGTATATAATGGGGGTAATCTTACCATGGTGATCATAAATACTTTTCCTTACAAATTTCAAAACCCAACCAAACACAAGAAAAGTGGGAAATGTCAAACCAACAAAAGTTTTCCCTTTTTTTCCATGCGAACCAAACACAAGAAAAATAAATACCGATTTTTCTGAGATTAGCAACCTGCAATATCTATTGATATTGCACTGGAGGCTAACAATGATGATATTGAACAAGTTCTGAGCCCACACCCATAATTCGCATATACATGTGGCTGATTTATTTGAGATGATGTCAAAAATTATTTTCAAGCATGGTTTTTTGCACATAAAGTTCATCAACATGCATAAATTATCAAATTTGATGCAATTTGCTATGTTATATACATATTTATGGCTATTCAGGTTGTTTATATGTTTTTATAAGTTTCAACAGATTTTTTAGCTAATTCAGGTATGTACTACATAAATTTATGAATAAGCAGGTTATTAGAGGTTTCGTGTGCTTTTTTCAATCTCAAACAGGTATAGTTCAAATCAAATCAGGTACGCAATTCATAGCAATTGATTCATGTTATTTCAAGTTTCATATGATTTAATTAATACAAACAGAAATTTATAATTCATTAGGGATATTATTATTTGTTCATGTTACATTCGAACTTTTATATGATTAAGATTAACTCATATAACGAGCACAAATAAATTTGTATATAGTAGTGGTAATCTTACCATGGTGACCATAAACATTTTCCCCTACAAACTTCAAAACCAACCAAACACAAGAAAAATAGGAAATGTCAAATCAACAAAAGCTTTCCCTTTTTTTCATGCGAACCAAACACAAGAAAAGTAAATACACTGGTTTCCCATCATTTTTTATATGCGCACCAAACTGAAACAATCTATTTCTTGGAAAAGTTTGGAAAACTCAAAACTTGTGTTTCTTTATGTGAAATTGCATTTCCCTATGTCTAGGAAACGAACCAAACAACCCCTTAGATTTAGGGATTATGGATTTAGTGGTTATGATTTAACTTAATGGGTAAATGAGTTATCACAAGATGATTTCTAACCTGATTGAATCGCCATCCATTTAATCTGTTTACCCATTTCCCATGGCACGTCAAGCCCACATAAAATACAACTCAACGTTCATACGGGACTTGTCGATGACCATGTCCATAACTAATAGTTCACCGCTTATAATAAAACAATTTCTCAATACGTACCTATTCTAACAAGAATTATAGTCATTACAATAACTAAAACATGTTTCTCAAACGTATGACACGTGCTAGCCTTGGAGAAAAGCTTGGAGATCATATCCTTAATAGATGTGCAATCAAAGATTGATTTCCTTGCCACTCAACTCTTGCAAAAATGAGTTGTATGTGTTTGTTTTTTCAAGAACCACTTCCATAAGGTGTTTGGGTTTGAGATGATGCTTTTATTGCATGGTTTGGCAAAGAAAAGGAGAACCTGAAAGTTTGATATTTAGTTAAAGACCAAGTGGTAGTTGAGATGTTTCCTTCCAAGTGCTCAGTTTTTTAACAAATTTGAGTACAGGTAGATTATAACATTTAAGGTGGGAAATACAATGAAGTCATTTGTGAGGGGTATAGCGCCAAAAACCTGAACCGTTCCTTATAACATTTTATCCGCCATATAGAGTTTATAATTTTCACTATAATGGACGTAATATATTATTTACAATGGCCATCAAACTGATAGCACTGTTCAAAAACAGGGAAAAAGGAGACGTCAAACTATTACCTTCTGTAACTGTGTAACATTGGGGTAGCTTCTGTCATCTAACCAAATTAGAACTCATGAAGCTTTTATCTCGGATGAGTAACTAGATTGTGAGGTTTCAACCTTCAGCAGTCACTGTAATGGGAGGAAATATGGAATACTTGATGCCAGTATCAAACATAGAACAACCGCAATACTCGCCCACCAAGCTTTATGTGGGATTCCAAGTGACAGTTCATCACAAACTGAAAGTAGATTTATGATGGTGAGATCCAACAGATAAATAGTCACTTTCATATAAAAAAGTAAAAGAAACCTTCATCAGAGAGCAAAATTTAGCAACAATAGAGACATCTTGTCAATCCTCTCCATGAATAAATGAAACGACCTTTAAATTTCAACAAGTTTGATATTACAATCCTATCAAAGTTCAATGACATTTTCCCCCTAATACCTTAAGACCTGAACAACTGGACAAAAGGTTATTTTTGTTATTATAGGAATCAATTTCTTTATGCTTTTCCTTCTCAACATTGAGGTGGAAGTGGAGCAAGGAAAGATTTGATACCATTACACAGTTTTTTATGTCGAAACTTAAAAATATCACTAAATTAGGAGGTGCTAAGAAGAACTTGAGTAGACTCGACCAGTTAGCTATGACAAATGATAAAATGCAAATTGAGACAGATAATTCAACTGCTTTTGTTACCCAATCAGATAAACAAATTGTTATCCAGTTTGTTTCAGGACAACTGTTTGCTTGAGATTTTCCTTGGATTGTTAGGTACATAGGGAAGATATCTATCCATTTTGCTGGTTAAATTACCTAATACATGTAGTGATAGCATGGATATTCCCATTACGAAATTGTACCCATGTCAGATATGCATCAACACAGACATGTTCAATACTCCTCGGACACTTCTCAATTGTGTCTTGATAATATATGCAATTTGCAATTCCAGGTACTTCAGGAAAATTATAGTTAGTTACTTCTATGGCAACTTCAAAGGAGATTTAAAGAACATAGAAGTTAAGATCTAACAAGAGATAGTGAGTAATGAGAAAATTCCATAAATGTTGAGGAAGATAAAGTATTCGTACAAGAGACAAGAACATCAAACTGAATTAACTGCAGAGGTTTGAGCGATGGACTGAACCTCTTTGCAACGGAAAGGAGTCAGCTATAAGACACAATTCAAGATCGAGAAAGATTCATAGAAGAATTGACCAACTTTTAATAACTGTCCATCAACATAACATCAATCCTCAATGTGTTTTGAGTCCATTTTCTAGATCTGGTAATTAGAACGAGAGAGGGCCAAGGTATTGGATCTTGATGGTCATTGGTTGGTTAGGTATGAACAAGGCTCTAGATTCCAACAGAGCAAAGGACGTCTATATGGAGAAACGAGATGTGATATGCTACAAGGAACTCATTCATCTATACAAGCCAAAGAACCAATAGAATCACACAACCCCGTTAAGATTCAACAATATTTTCCTCGCTCAAAATCTAAGGATTTTGAAAAATACATGAATATAAATTTTTTCCCCTTGATTTTCCCCCTGCTTAGGGCATAAGAAAAAGGACAAAGAAAGATTGGATACCATTAGATAAAGCTTTTTATGTAATAAAAAATGCATTTGGGTGATTATCGTATTATTAGTCTGGAAAAGTATGCTGCTCTATTAATTTAGAACAGTTATGACTCGATGATACCTTATTATCTTCAGATTTCTTCAAACGTAAATGCATTTGGATGATTATAGAATTATTAGTCTGGAAAAGTATGCATCTCTATTGGTTACGATATTGATACTATGTGCAATATTCTACTTGTTATATTCTCTTTTCTGAGTAAAATGAGTTACTTTCCGTTTTATTTTCCTTCATTTTCAGCCGTGGAAACACTAATTCTTTCCATTGTCTAGCATTAGCCATAAGCTTTTTCTTGGGCCAGTTCCTAAAAATTAGAAGTTTCTTGGAGTACTGCTTATACATATTCTGCACAGGAAATAATAATATCACGGAAATACGCAAAAATACAGCGGGAAAGTAAGAAATGTAAAATATCAATCTATCACATCCAGACTCATTAGAGATCATATTTAGGAGTGAGCAAGATTTCCCTATGTTTGCTGCTATCCCTCTAGCATCAATGACATCATGATAGAAACTTCAGAAGGGCCCTTCACTATCAGGCGCGCAACAAGCACTTCCAGTATTCATAAGAGATTAAAGGATGTTGACTATCTAATTTCTAAATGTTAGAATCTAAGGTGAATGGAAACAGAAGAGGGCATGGCTATCATGCACTAAGAGAAAGGAGATTGATATTCAATTATACACGCAGAGTCTCTGAACTTGGTTTTCATGTGAAAAGTGTAAAAACCCTTCAATTGTGAGGGAACATAAGAATGAGAAGGAAACAGAGGAATATACAAGCAAAAGGTAAGAACAATTAATGTTTATGATACTTAGAAAGGGTTACTGTTATATACAAGGAGCGAAAGAGAACAAAAAGGGGGGAAAACACTTGGGGTCATCTACAAACACAAATACTGTACATACTGCTCTCTGACTATAAAAATCATATGGAAATGAGAAGATGCATGAACAACATCACGAAAACATCCGCCGAGTTGAGTTTCATTATCTAGCGACAAAGCAGCATTTTAGTTTCTTGAACTTGTCGACCAGCAGAAAAGTGGCATTGTAAAAGTATGAACCGCTAAATTCACAAACTGCATGCATTTTTTTCAACCTTTTCATATAAAACATGTTCAGGTTTAACTCAATAGCCATAGGTTGACAGAAGTAGAAGAAAAGCTTCACAAAACAGCACCACTGTTGGACAGTTAAGATAACTATTCACTCACCGATGTTAAATAAGACCAGTCCACCTTCTTGGACACCCAGCTTTGCAACAGCCCCAACTGGTTCGACAGTCACAAGAAGATACATATGACTGTTACCTGAGTTCTACACAGTAAGCTTCAAAGTTGTAGCTTGTTATACGAAGCATAAAACGAAAACAAAAAATTCAACACTAACCAAATTATTATGATCAGTCTTGAAAGTTAGTTTCTCGGTATCTAATAATCTTCTGTTCTTATTTAACCCAAGGTATATTGCATTGCTCTTCATTTGTAGCGAGAAGCTAGCAGGCACCTGTCGTTTCATAAGAGTGGGTAATAACTCGGATGTACACTGAAGCTTATGGAATCGCATACTAGGTTGGGAGATGAGAACATACAGAAGATGGATACGATATCTTGACTTCATACCATCTGGATTCTTTAAGACTACATACATCATAAACACTTTGACCCGTCTTCAATGGTAGAATTTGTCTCTTAAGTTCCTCTCCAACATTCAGCACCTGAATACCTGGACTGTAATTGCGTATGAATTGAGAGAGAGAAGAACAGAAAAACATTATAAAGACATGGTAACTTCTTATGCCTACACTAGACAGTGAGATCGATAGCCAATGAAGAGGCACTTAGGACAGAGCATCATACACCATAAAAGGAGAGACATTTGGATAGACAAATTAAGCATGAAAAGATTGTTGAAACCTAGTCAGGCCACCTAGCTGTTATGAAGCCAATATTGGTGCTTATTACTGCTTGATCAGTACAAAATAATTTTTATCACTACACATACATGTTGGACAGGTAACACTTAAAACAAATTTTGCTCAAAATCCATAAATCATACAAGAAAGCTTGTAAGAAACAGTTCAACTGAATCATAGGCTACCAAAATTTACAGCTGAAGCAACAAGCACTACAGGAAGAAGCGAACTAGTGGACAAAGTGAACTAGTGTGAAAAGGAGAATGAGGGTGAGACATAAAATAACTATGTCCCTAATGCAGAGGGAAATGGAAATAGAGAAGATAGATATAAAAAATGACAACGCCATGGTCAAGCCCAAAGTTCTACTTCAAACCTTATAGTAAGATTGACACGGAAAACAGAGCATATGCACACATATACGGCTTGATGAAACAAATCAAATGTGGATGGAATAGTATATCTTTATTTCTATCCTATTTTCTTCGCAGGTATAAAAACAAGCATATCAATTAGAAAACAAACTTTTCATGATGATTGTAGTAGATTGATATGGATATGCATCAGATTTCAGTAAAGCCCTTATCAGTCAACATAAAATGGCTGAAACGTGGGCACACTATGGAGAGGTAGGTCAATTGTGGAACACCAGATAAATATATAAATTGTGACACCATTACTTTAGTCCAACATCGGTAGTGGGAAAGAAAAACAAGAATTTTAAATAGTTAGTCAAGGACTCAAGTTAGAATTAGTGCTAGTATTATTGGCATTGGATCGAGCCAAACAACGTGTTGCACTTAGTGAGTCTCATGGCTTATATTGCAGCAACAAATTCATGGCCCGGAGCATAACAAATGGTATTAGAGCAGTTAACCAGACACCTCTAGAACCCATAGAAGCCACCTCTAGAATGCACATCGCCTAATGGTGATACTGGAGGATGGACCAATTTTCATGCCACGACTAGGACGTCGTTATCTAAGGTGGGGTGATCGGGTGACTGTGATGTCCATAATTTAGTCCCACATCGGTAGTGAGAAAGAAAAAGAATATGTTTAAATAGTCAGTCAAGGACTCAGGTTGCAACCAGTGCTAGGTGTTTTCGCTGTGGATCGAGCCAAAAAAGCATGCTTCACTCAACAGATCCCACAGCTTACATAAGGTCAATAGGCTCGTGCCCTGAGTGCGGCATTAATATTACAAGATGGGCTACTATTCTCACAAAGTTGGATGTCCATGTAAATACACATATATTTAATTATTTATAAATGGTTTTTTAGATATATACCCTTCAAAATCTTTCATAATGTAAAACTGTCAAAAAATCATCACATTTAAGACTAAATCTCTGATATCTTAGGGTTCTTATATACTTGGCCATTGGCCCTCTTTATTAACTGTTCAAGAACAGGAGGGATATATTCCTTTTATTTTGTTAGCAGCCCTGATAATTTAAGACAATGACTTCATTATCATTTGGATAACTTGAGAAGTTTTGGATGGATCGGCAAGAGCATACTTCCTTGTTGTGTCATCTAACGTAAAAACGAAGTCAATGAGGGACAAATTTCTAACAAACCCCAGATTTGATGATGATTCAAATTTTCTCTAAATATAGATGATTTGAGAGATATATACCAAAACAACTCTAATATAACATGTAAGCACCATTATGAAGAGATATTGATAAGTTAATATTCAAATGCATGTTCATATTTAAAACTTGTATTTACATTCAGATCCTAATAAATGTACCTACATTTGTGATAGGAACATCAGGATTACTTCATATTTTGGATGTAAAAAAGAATTCAGTGAGTGATTATCCAATCCAGATTCAGCTTGTGCATGAAAGACGTATGAAGTTACAGGAAAACTCTCTTTAATCCTTCTAAAATTAGGACATAAGAGTCAATTTAGCAGCAAAGATGCAATCCATCTCTTTCACAAAGATCATAAAGAAACCTTCACATATAAAGTTGAAATTGCTTCTATAGTCATTGCTAGACAATAAAAAGAATAACATGCACATAATTCAATGCTAGTCCACATTACTTAGTGTTGCTTGCAATGAATCCTGTGGCTATGGCATCACCAAAGGCTATAACATCCATATTATTTTTCCCCAAGAGAGTAGAGTACACACATTATTTAGGAATAAGGCAGATGACTCCCACCTTCACTGCTCTAATAGCGAAAAGGCTTTACTTGAACATGTACGCTCCTCGCTTTTGCCACCACAACTATGTAAATAGAATACATTTCATGTAAATATTCCATATTGACGGTCAAGAAATTCTTAAGAATAATAAATTTTATTATTAGGGATCAATTTTTGTTATGATGATGAGATTGAAGGTGATGTGGTTTATTGAATCAAATCCAAGTGGTTAAAATAGAGGAGTGTTTCTACAGCATTACGTCACCTAGAATACTTATGAGATTGAAGGAAAAATTCTATAGGAAAGTTATGAGACCAACAATTTTTTATAGGTCTGAATATTAGGCAATTAAAAAAATAATCATGTGCAAAAAAAATGAGTCTAGCAAAAATGAAAATGTTATGGCGGTCTTGTGAATAAACAGTAAAAGAAGGTTAAAAAGGAGTGCATGCATAGGAGATTAGAGATTACTCCTTTAAAGGACAAAGTAAGAGGAACGAATGAGATGGTTTGTCCATGTACCATGGAGCTCACTAAATGCACCAATGAGAGGAAGTTATAAGAATATAGTTATTAAGGCATGGAGGACTAGAGGTTATCCTAAAAGAGTTTGGTTGGAAGAAATTACAAAGGATATTATAACAGTTAACTGAATTTAGGAGATGATGCAGAACGGAAGTGAATGAAATACTAGGATTCATTTAACAAACCCCAAAAGTTTGGGGTTAAGAATATGTTATTGTGGCATTGCATTCACTGCGTTGGACATAGATGGATAATGAACATAATCTGTTGCCATGTTAGCCATCTATGTTTGAGACATTTTAAACATGACTCTATTTTTATTTTCATAGTATCTGCAAAAACTTATGTGTGCTTATTCCATTTTTGGCAAATAGTCCAATAATTTAAACGTCACTCCACCTGCTTATTATTCAAAAGTTTTCCATTTACGAAGGAAAACTCAAGCAATTGCAATTAAATGCATGTATGTGTACAAACAAAAATGTGAAATAAGATCTTTGTGCTTGGATTTCTCGAATGGCTTAGCATATATACACAAATGCAAACACACATAGCCGTGAAGTTTTCCATATTTTGGGTGAAAACTCACAAGTCATCATTCCTCATATATATTTTAATAAATTAACGGCCACTTCTATGTAAAGTTGTGACTTGTGGCTTTTCTATTAAGTTGGCCTTAACATTGAACCATTGATGTCTCATCATAGTCTCCCCAGTACATCCATCCTATCTTCTAACAATGATTAAAACCTCAATAGGCCTGTCTTTCTTCCTCCTCTGAGCTTGAGACAATCATTTTAATTTCTCCTGGATCTTAGCACCAACATTCTCTTGTGAGATCTAAAACTAAAACTCTTTTGCTTAACGAAAGTTTACTGGATGTATATAACTCTACACACTGAATACTAGGTTGCTATCCTTTTGCATACAACACAAACTCAGTATGTACAATGCGAGGAAGCAAATAGCCAGTGTTGTAAAAAGCGCCCAAAAGCGGCCTTTGGAGCAGAAGTGGTCCTTGCCCGCTTTGCTTAGCCGCGAAGCGGTGAAATTAAGCACTTTTTGCTGGCAAAAGCTCAAGAATGCAGAGAAAAACGCTTAATCGGCTTGTTTTTGAAAGCGGTTCGATTCGAAGTGATTAACTTCAAATCGAAATGATTAACCCAACCTGAACTTTAAACTAAAGAAGAAATGGAGGAAGCTCAAAAGACACAGATTCACAGGAGTCAATGATGCAACTTGAACAAGTTCACACGCTAAAGGTCATCAAGAACGCTAAAGGTCATCAAAAAGGAAGAAGAAGAAGATGAAAAATTGCAAAAGATGGTTATGAATTATGATAGAAGAAAAACAAGTCTGGATAAATCTCAATCTTGAACAAAAGGAGAAGGGACAAAACACGAGTGAGCAAACAAATCATCTAAGCACATCTTTTTCTCCCAAGAATGAAGCTTTATACTATTTTCCTCCCTATATAAACTGTGCCATCATATGAGACCCTACATTTCCTCATCCTCCTCATCAGACCAAATCAGCAATATCAAGCAACCGTGCGCCCTGTTCCTCTATTTATCCTTTAAAATTCCAAAATATAAACCCTACTTTACAGTTTAAACGTAAAACAAAGCCATCGGTGAGCCCAAATACCAAATAACAAGCAATAAGATTCATTTTGAAATCTCATACTTCTCATTATCTTGTTTTTTTTCCCTTATCATGATCAATGTCACTCTAAGACAAAGTTTCACAGGCCAATTCAAATATTTCTGTATAAACTCTCCTAAATTACACAAAACTCACTACAAAATCATACGGAAACAAGGGTTTTAATTGAGTCAAAATTACATGCGTTTCTTCTTCCAATCGTGTTCCATCACCATGGATTCATCGAACACCATAAACAAAAATACTCAATCTTCTTTTTTTTAATGACAAAAATCAAAGAAAGAAAAAGTTCTTCTTGCTTACCTGTCAATGCGATCACTGGTGTCGGATCAAAAGACATCTTGGCTGGAAATGTTGCAGATCCTGGGGTGAGAGAGATCAGGGCAGAGGAAGAAAAAGAAGAGAACTGATGAGAGATAATAAGGGATGAGAAATTTTCAAAACCAACACCTTTCAACATTTAATCCCAAATACCGACCTCTTTTGCACTTAGGGGGTGTTTGGTTACATTTCTACAAATTGTAGGAAATATTTTCCTTCAAAAATTTGATTTCCTTGTATTTCTTAAAAAATTTATAGGAAAAGTTTTGAGAAGTCAAAAAGTACAAATTTTCTTGTTTTTTGAAGTTTGCTTGTTTGGTTCAAAACAAGAAAATGTGCTACACACTTTATAGAAATAGCAACTTTTCTTTTTCTTTTGTTTGGTTACATTGTCAAATTTATAGAAAATTGTTAACTACCATATTTGTTATTTTAATAATGGCTAGTTCCTAACAATATAGAGCTAAACAAGCTTGATTGAGCCATGAAACCAAAATAATAGCCAAAACAACCCGATAACAAGCAAAAATATCAATCACATAGCCAACAATAGAGAGCTAAACAAGCTCGAATCAGCATAATAACCACAAAACAGCATCCAATCTGAAAAAACAGCCTTCATATCTCGAAAACAAGCTCAAATACTCACCAAATACCCAACAATAGAGAGCTAAACAAGCTCGAATCAGCGACCACAGAAAAAACAGCATTTGTAGCTCGACAACAAGCCCAAATACTCACCAAATCACCAACAATAAAGAGCTAAACAAGCTCGAATCAGCGACCATAGAAAAACAGCATTTGTAGCTCGACAACAAGCCCAAATACTCACCAAATCACCAACAATAAAGAGCTAAACAAGCTCGAATCAGCGACCACAGAAAAAACAACATTTGTAGCTCGACAACAAGCCCAAATACTCACCAAATCACCAACAATAAAGAGCTAAACAAGCTCGAATCAGCGACCACAGAAAAAACAGCATTTGTAGCTCGACAACAAGCCCAAATACTCACTAAATCACCAACAATAAAGAGCTAAACAAGCTCGAATCAGCGACCACAGAAAAAAAATCTGAAAAAGCAGCCTTTGTAGCTCGACAACAAGCCCAAATAGTCACCAAATACCCAACAATAGAGAGCTAAACAAGCTCGAATCAGCGACCACAGAAAAAAAACAGCCTTCAATAGAGAAACTGGGTGAAGAAATATCATCAACAAATCCCTTAACTCAGAGCATAGTAACCAAAAAACATGAAAGTGCTCAACAACAAAGAAAACTCATTAGGGCTCAGGATAAAATAGATTTATCATAAAAGATTACCTCGCCTATCAATTTATGGTGAAAAGTAGGCTGCTATTTTGAGGGATTGCCTCACCCAATAATTGAGATATCAATAAGGGTTGCATTCCACACAAAATTGCCTCGCCTAAACAATACACAATAAATATAGGCTGCATTCTCAGATTATTATTATCATCATTGCCCATCCAAAAAAGGAATGAAAAGAGGTCATACCATGCTTGATTACCAAAACACGTCATCCATCAGTAATACCAAAACACGTCATCCAACAAATAGTACGACGAATATAACCTACGACGAATACAACAAGAAATATAAGTAATGAATCGCAACATCTAAAGTTTGCAATTAACAAAATGTTAGTTATGAATTGCAACATGTAAAGTTTGCAATTATCAAAATATAAGTTATGAATTGCAACATCTAAAGTTTGCAATGTACAAAATATAGGAGTTGTGCGGGAATAGTAACAAAATATGTGAAGTAGCAAAATGGATTGTTGTGTGCACAGAACAATAAAACACTATCATGTGTCCCAACCTTGAGCCGACGCAAGACTTGCAAGAAACCTCTTCTGTGCTTCCTTGGTTTTTATAAAAAACCTCCTAGCCTCGTGCTCACTTTCATACAAATGATCTAAAACCTTATCAAGGAATTCGTCACTGTAGGAGTCACTATGGTTCTTCAAAGCTGCAGCTAATTGTTCAGTCCAATGTATAATGTGTTGATTTCTAATTGACTCCGACATAGTCTCAACAAAGCTACGTATTAACTCATCGTCATTGGATTTGCGAGGTCGCTTGCTTGAAGATGGCTTTGTGGTAGACTCATGTTGGGATTTCCTAGAAGTGGAGTGTGGGGTAGTGTTAGCATCGGATTGAGGCTCGGTTTCACTCTCAAGAGGAATGTCCGCATCATCATCATCAAGAGGAATGGCGTTGTTAGTACCAATTTTATCATAAACTGGCCTAACAAAATCACCCCTAGCTTGATCATCACCCATGATCTTCTGTAAATGTTTGTAGAATGGAAGAGGCTTGTTTATATATCCTCTTAGCTTTGAGTTCTTTTTGTCCTGCCATATGTGAAAAATATTGTGAGAAATTAATTATAGCCTTCTCACGTCCAAATAAATTAAATATGTAGTAATGACTTAAATCAATACCTGAGCCCATTGATTAAGTGTCTCCTCATCTAGGATTACCATACAATTTTCCTCATCCCACCCCGCACCACTTATGTTGATGCAAGTCTTCATATCATTAAATTTGTTTCTCCAAGTCTTCATGCGATTAATCACATGAACGTGGGTGTAGTTGGTTTTGAATTTCATGTTCATTTTCATAGCTGCTATTTTGTAAGCCTCAGCTTTGAAGTTTTTATCAACTTTCATTCCGGAATCCGCGAGCTCCGCAAGACACGGTATAAGCTCCGCATCATGCTCAGGAAGCCACCACATGTTGGAAACCCCCTTCGAGTTGATGCTAGGAGCCCCACGTGTTGCAGCCCGTGCTCTTTTGTGAGCAGTTTTTTTGATTCTTTTGGAGGGTGAAACCTCCTGGCTCAAACAAATGACATTACTTTCATGTCCACCAGATTCACCGATGGAGGGTGACATTTGTTGTGGACCGCCGCTTTGAGAACTCAAAGAGGGAATGTGCAAGCCTTGGGAACTGTTCAACATGTTAGTGAATGAAACATGTTGGCTAGAGCCACTGTAGTTCCCATCGAATAGAGGAAACTGTGGGAAAGGAGGCATTGCATGAGGCGGATTGAACGGTTGATTTAGATATGGAACAAAATTCACATTAATACCGCCGTCATCAATTAGTAGAGCATGTGGTGATTTAGGCAAATTATCTTTTCCTCCCTCTTTGTTAGACATACCTACGTGCCATGATAAAAACAAACCAGAAATTTAGAATTACATAAGTACAATATGAGTACAATCATGAAATAATAAATTACAAAATTATAGTTGAGAAACTACATTGTTCATACAAGCACAGTTATAACATTGTTCATACAAGCAAAGTTGAGAAACTACATTGTTCATACAAGCACAAAATTAAAGTTGAGCAATATAGTCTGAAATATGCGAAAACAACGCCACTACAAGCCAATTTCTGTGGTGTCGCCATCTTTATATTTTGCGCAATAATCAACCCACATTGCCCATGCAATTTGATCCCTAAGTTCCTTCCATTCATTTCTTGCATCACGCTCCTCTCTTTGTGTCCTAGATTGAGTGAAGTCAACTACATTTGTACCATCTTCGTTTGTCATGTCATCATTCTCCTCATCAATTAGTACATTCTCATTCAAGATGTCATCTTGTGGATCTTCAATTGCAATGAAATTATGTAATATAGTACATGCTAAGACGATGTCCACTTGTGTGGGGAATGGATAATTAGGCTTCGCCGTCAGAATTTTGAACCGATTCTTCAATGTGCCAAAGGTTGATTCAATTTTGGACTGTAAAGAAGAGTGTCTTAAATTGAACAACTCCCTGCTATTTCTGGGTGTCCTACCAATGTGTTCCTTTAAGTGATAACGTACACCACGGTACGGAGAGATGAAGCCAGGCATGGTAGTGTATCCAGCATCACAAAGATAATATTTGCCTACACTTCCAAAAAAATTTGTGATCAATTGGACCCTATTATTTATTAAAGGAGGTGGAAGAATACCATCATATACTCTCAATCTGTATGGTTGTGGTCTACACAATGCGTCTTGCAATATCCTATAGTCATTCGCCGCACCTTCCCACCCAGCTAGGACATATGAGAACAGTTTATTTGGAGTGCACGCAGCTAAAACATTTTGCGTTACACCTTTACGCCCTCTAAACCGTGCAACTAGATTAGAGGGTAACATTGCGTCAATATGTGTTCCATCTATCATACCAATGCAATCCTATCAAAACTCGACAATAATTAAAATTATTAGTACCTCATATCATTGAATTATGCAAATCACAAACTAAAAGAATATATTTCTCTCTTACCTTGAAGTAAGGAAAATAGTTTGGATTGTTGGCAATCTCCGGTGGAATCTCATTAGGAGCTTGCTTCATGTATCGATCGCGAAGACCATTCATAGCCTGTAGGATCTTATTAAAGTACCTACTAACCGTTTCACCCGATCTTATGAATTCGGTCCTTATAACTCTATTTTTGGTTTTATGACCCACTATGCAAAGAAACATAGCGAGTTGTTCTTCAACTTGAAGGTGTTTTGTGTCATTTAGAAAACCATGATTGCGCATTACATCCGCAAGTTTGAAAAAAGCTTTAGGCCTCATTCTAATATAAGACCTACAACTATCACTATATCCTTCAAAGACGCGCTTGAAGTGAGCATTTCTACAATAAATTCTCCTCATCTTATCCTCTCTTGGGGCATAACAAATGGATTTGCGCCTAGCACGAATTCTCAATAAACAAGCTATTATTGTAACCACGGTAGATATAGTGGTATTAGCACACATCCTCTTTATTTGTTCTTCATCTACACCATCCATCTACATTCGTTACAAAGCAAAAATAGTTTAAGATGTTTATGCAACAATAAACAACGAAAGAAAAATTGCGCAACTAACTTATCAACAAATCTCTTTTATACACCCAACATTTTGAACTATAATCATTATTGACATGATACAAACGTCCTACATTGACAGATTGAAAATTAGCAAATTTTTTTGTTTGAGATGTGAACATGGTAAAGAGGGGAAACCCTCAAAAGATATCTTCAATCTTACAATCATAAAGCAAGTATACATGCATGCCACTGCAGTTCTTTTCATTACATTTCCTGTTTATTCATTTATCCCTACTATCGCTTCTTATTTACATACCCATAAAAACCCCAATCTCTGTGATATTACAAGACCCTGTCAAATTCACAACTAAAGTGCTATTGCTTAAGTGCTATATCAAGGCCCGATCTTGTCATCATTCACAACTAAAGATTACAGAAATGTAATAGAGGGTAATTTCTATCAAAGAAAATCCTACTGAATGTAAAACAGCAAAGTTTAGATTTAATTTTTGTCATGCAAAGCAGTTAACTAGTTGTTGCCAACGCAGATGACAAAATACATAACAGATGACAAACCAACGAGTATTGAGTATGGAGATCAGTTTTTGGTTTTATGACCAACGAGTATATGTTCTTGGTTTTATGACCCAAAATCAAATTCATCAACATCCCCAAAATCAAATTGTAGGAAAATCCCAACAAGTATTGAGTATGGAGATCAGTAATTACGAAAATAAATGTACAGAAACCCTAACAGATAATTTTCGTCAACAGACCAACGCCAAATAGATCAAAAAAAAATGGAGTACAAAGAAAAGATTTTTACCGTGGGAGCCTTGAGATCAGAAATCGAAAACCCTAGCGCAAGATCTGGGAACCGAAAACCCTAGATTTGAGGCGATCGGAGAGGGGAAATCGAGAGGTAACTGGAAATGGCGCGAAGGACCAGCAGCTCGCTGGATTTGGGGCGGGAACCAGGGCGAAATTTTCTGCCGACGAACAAGCTCGAGAAATGTCCAGCGAGTGGGGAAATGGGTACGGGAAGCGAAGAAATGAGTTTAATAAAGGAAGTGTCAGATTTCATGGCAATTTCCTCTCATTTTGAGAGGAAATACATTTCTATAAAATGAGGGTGTTTTTGACAGTTTTAAGAAAACTTTTCTGTAAAGTTTTTGGGAGCCAAACACGTTTTATAGAAATACACAGAAAATTTTTATTTACAAAATTGCCACTCTGACAGTTTTTGAGAAATGTTTTCTATAAAAACACCCAACCAAACACCCCCTTAATTTCAAAAACCGACCTTGTTTCCTGGCGTTGAAAACATGTAGATTTTTTTAAAAAAAAATTCAAAACTTTATAAGAGTTGTAGTTAAACAGATTTTTAACAATTCTACTAAAACTTCATGGGAGTTCAACCCCGTGAAGTTTTATTGGTTAAACAAACTTCACGAAAGTTCAACTCTCGTGAAGCTTGAACTCAGCCCATTTTCCAGAGAGCCAACTCTCAGAAAAATTTTGACTGTAACTCTACGGGAGCTCAACTCCCGTGAAGTTGCAGGTTTCACAAACCATGCACAACAGCCTGTGCATGTTCTGTACATAATGTATCTCATATACGTTATATTTACCTATTAATAATAATTGATCTCATATACACTGAATTACAACAATATATACATAATTCAACCATGAATTAAAAACGAATCAAACAATACTCACAAATAGTACATATATAAACAATAATTGATCCACAAAAAAATAGTATTTGAAAATTCATAAATGTTACAAATTTTAACAAAATAAGCTCACATACAATCCAAAATAGATCCTCTCCTTCCTCTCCCTCTCTTCCTCATCCCGGCTCGGCTCGCCGCCTTCCTACCGCGCATGGTTGTTCGCTGCTGGATGAGCCTGCGGATATCTGGGTATATCTAGGCTATGTATGAGGGTTGGAAAGTGTCACGGGTCTCCATGGCAGCCACCACCTGCGAAGATGTCCGGCTTTATCGTCACGGTGTCATCGTTCCGTCTGGCGGTTGCCGGCTTAGCCCAAATGAATCGGAGACCTGTCCTCGATGGCCTGTTGGCAAACTCGTTGACTAGAGTGAGTCTTTATGAAACACTTTGTGCTAGTTGTCTGCTAATCCTGCTGAAGACTCCTAACGCCACCGAATCCTGAATCTCAGGCATGTGCGTATCAATATCAGCTTCAATGCTATCAAAAGCACGGACCTGCAAGGTAAACAATTTATTAAGTACCATCTCAATAAAAAATGTTATAAATTAGCTTAGAAACTTACATAATCTCTCTCGATCATCCCACTAGTGTAACGTCCCTGGTTTCACACATGACTGCAGTCCAAGGTGAACCCAGAGATGTCAAACCTGTCATGCACCCACACTGTGCAACAACAAGTTACTTATCAAAAAGATTTAAGGATACAAAGTGGTCTTTTATACCTGTCATATAAAATGAGGCACTAAAATCTAATACTCATGGTCTTTGAGGAGAGGTAATGTAGGCATCTATACCTAAAGAGGATGCATGAGTAGCAAAATGACTGTTCTGAGAGAGCTCGAGTTGACACAATTGGTCATACTCAGTCTGAGAAATCTGAACTGTGGAGAGGGAGCAGAAGTAGTCGTAAGAGAAGAAGCAGAGGTAGATGTAATATTAGCAATCTGGGCCCATGTAGGACGATCAAACTTTTCCCAGCACTTCTCAGATATATGATTAGTTCTTCCACAATGTTTGCACTAACACAGACTTCTATCTGAGGCAATCGGTCTCCCACCAAAAGGGCCTCGTCCTCCCCCTACGTCAAGGTCATGTCCTCGACCATGACCACGACCTCTGCCACGTCCGGAGAATATAACAGACTGATCAATTGATGGGGGAGACTGTGTGGGAGACACAGTAGTAACTCCAGTAGTTACCTACATAACTCTGGAGAATGTAGCAGTCAATGAAGGAATAGTATCTCCTCCTAGTATCTAGCCCCGTACCTAAGACTGTAAAGTGGGACTCAGACCAGATAAGAACTTGGATACTGCTAGGTCCCTACGATATCCCAACAGCATCGGTGCATCCGTAACAGTGGGCTGATGCATTTCTAATTCATCAATCAGACCTTTCAGCTCACCAAAGTACTGAGGAACAGAGCGATCACCCTGTTGAAGAGAAAAAATTGTTCATACAGCTCAAACACACGAGATGCATTCTTCTCAATGTCGTACATAATTTTTAAATTTTCCCACGTCTCCTTAGTAGTGTTCGAGAACATGACACTGCTACTGATATGCGCTTCCATGTTGTTAAGAAGCCAAGTCATCACACAACAGTCAGCAGAGATCCATGCGGGATACGTAGGATCTGTAGAAGCAAGAGGTGGAGTCAGAAGATGAGCCAATTTGTTCTGAGCTCCAATGAAAATGCGAAATGCTTGTGCCCAAAGGAGATAGTTGGTGCCATTTAATTTTACAGTGGTTCCCAATACAACTTTGGGTGCTAAAATCTCAGCAGTAGTAGAGGTAGTAGTGGTAGCAGAAGAGATGTTAGATCCTGTCATTGTTACGGTATAGGATAGTACAGAAACAGAAGAATCGTAATCTTCTTGTATAAAACCCGAAGGTTTAAAATAGAAACCCGAAGGTTAGAAGAGAACCCGAAGGTTAGAAAGGAACCCGGAGATTAGAACTCGAAGGTTGGAATGAAAAACCCGAGGGTTAGAGTTCAAAAACCTGAAGGTTAAGATGGAACCCGAAGGTTAATTATTTAATCCAAAGGTTTTAGTTGTTGTTTTTTTTTTATTTTTTAGACTCTTCCAACCTCATCGAGAAACTAAACAAATCAGACAAGCATAAAAGACTCTTCTCCTCTCAGAAATACAACAACCAGGCCCAACAAAAGAAAAGGGCCCAAACCCAACTAAAAAAATATCAGCAGCTAAAAAAAATTGTCAAGGCTCTCCCCTCCTTTGGCTCAGATGAAGAGGACGGCGTTGGCGAGCACCTAGAGGGTCTGATTTGGGCTGGGGTCGGTGAGCGCCGAGGGAGAGGGAACTGGCGTTGGTGAGAATGCTACGACGACAGCGAAGCAGTGGCAGAGAGAATCCTAGATCGGTCCGTTCTAGATCTGAGGACGACGACGGTAGCGGAAGCCTAGATCTGAGGCGAGGCAGCCAAGATCTGAGGACGATGAGTGCAGAGGGTGAACGACAGTCGAGATCTGAGTCTTCTTCATGCAGACGACGACGATGCAGGCTAAGGAAGACAACAGCAACCTAAATCTGAGGTGAGAGCACAGACAATGATGACGACGGCAAAGGATGGTGGCAAACACCTAGATCTGAGGTGGCTCGTAGTGAAGCTTCGAGCGGCGGCTAGGGTTCGGGGCTGCATTTTTTTTAAATAAGGTTAGGGTTTGGAGGTCTGCTCTGATACCATGTAGAAATAGTAAATTAGAATCCTCATCTTTATTCATCACAATGGGTCTATATATATAGGAGTACATATGGGTAAATAGGGTAATGGGTCCTAACCCGATAACCCGAT